AACCATGCACCAGAGTTCGGTGCAAGCTCCATTTATCAAGTGAATGCTATTGCATCAAAACAAATTTTCCGGATACATGCTACTTAGTCTCAATGAACATGAATAAAAGGTTTAAGCACGTATTCTTTCTGACAAGTTTACTAGACCAACTCCATGCATAAAATACAGAAGTATATCCAAAGAAAGCGTAAACATGAGAGAGCGAGTTCGCCCAAGACTAAAGGAGGATTGTCAAATCTTTATGGGTAACAGAAAATTGGGGGAAAAGATTTATGTAGACAATTCTTCAATAAAAAATGACACAGACAGGAGAATTATGACATTAAAAGGGGCATGCTGTGCTTGCCTTGTCCTCCAGTCCTTGAAATAAAATAATGGGACAGGAAAAGTGATTTACGAAATTGATTGGCGACCTCTCAAAATATGCCTTCTCATCCCCTGCAATGATTCAAAAGGGCTCAACACATAAATCAACATAGATCAGGGGAAAGACTTTAAGCAAATGTATTGTCAACATTTATCGATTTGGTTATTACCAACTAGATTGTCAATATAGTGAGATTCGAACTTGTGAGTTTTTGCTCTCAGCAATTGCAGATCACCAATCTGATTAACAAAAGATGAGGGCATAAAGCACTGAAACTAAAAAAATGGATTTGATACTTGAGGAGCTTTGAGCTATACAAGTAGACATATGAACCAAACTGATGCCTGATCCATGTGTCTAATTAATCAATCACATGCTTTTCTACATAAAGATGATCATCTAAGATAACAGAATACCACATAAAGGCACCAACCTTAACTTAAAGTATCATATTTTTATGATCAGTTTAAGGTTGCAAGTGCAAGAGCACACAAGATATGTGAATACAATATTACTTATCAAAAACAAACTTTTTGATCCACTCACACCATACAAGGAAGCTCCAGCCTTGAAAACATCTTTAAATGCTAGTGCAGCTAATGTTGTATAACCACCAGCGGAACTCCCCGTAATACAAAGTCTTTCACCGTCAACCCTTCCACTGTCAACCTGAATGAACAAACTAATTTACCATGACTTACAAAATCTATAGCAGCATTAAAGGTATAAGAGAATTAGTACTGATGTTACCAAAAACATGGCACAATTGCAACAGTCGTTGACATCCACAATTCCCCATTTTCCCAACAGTCTTTCTCGATATTCTCTGCCATAACCTTCATATGAGCCAAAAACAAGAGAATATTAACCGACTTAATAGTAGCTAACTAGTCTAGCACTTTGTTCTACTCCATCCTGACCCTTTGGCCGCTTTCTCTGCTTTTTCTACCAATATAAAGTACTGAATTCTTTTATTTCGTATATTTTCCTATATACATATCTATAAAGTTCTGATTATCAGTCAATAAAAGCAGGAAACGATGTTGCCTCCAGGGCCTAGCTCAAGTGGCAAAGGGTGGTGGATTTGTGTCTTAGGTCACAGGTTCAAGCCCCCACACCATGCAAAGCAAAGCCTGGTATTTAAGTGGAGAAGGGTAGAGGGGCGGGCACATTATCCACCGAGTTTCGAAGGCTGCGGTTGGTCCAAAGGATCGGCCCCACATGGATTTCTCGGTCATCAAAAAAAAAAAAAAAAAAGCAGGAGACGATGTTCCCTCAAAAAGTTGAAACTCTCAAACCAGTCCCCTACTCAAGAAACAGTATAGAAAGAATAGCAAGACAAAGATGGAAGGAGTCAAAGGGCCATTGGAGTACCAGTGCTTCCACCATAATCCACATCCACATATGCCCAACCACGACTGGTCCAATATTGAACACTAAGATTTAAACATCCCCGTGCTTCAGCTGTAGGACCTCCTGTATCATCGTAAAATATACATTCACATCTCATACAGAAACCAACTAATCTCAGTTTTTTAACAAAGATAAGCTATCGAGCATAAGCAGTTCTAATGAGGGGAAAAATAACCATGACTTCGCATGAGCAATGGAGGTTTTTCTCCATGACTGGCTTGATAGTTGGGGTTTGTTGGTGGATAAAAGTATGCATATGCACTTTGACCCGGGATGTCTGTTGGGAACTTCATCAACTCAGGCCAACTGTAGTACGACGTATACATCTCACTAATAGATGATGACGACCACATAATCTTGAAATCAATTGCTTTTGTTCTCTGATCATCCAAAGTAATCTGCAAAAATAACAGAAAAAATGCTAAAGGAATGATCTGGAACAGATATTTAAATACTGTTTTTAAAATTTCAAGCAACCAGAAGGTCTCTAAATTTTGAGTAGAAGATTGGAGGGCAGAACCTTAGCTAATGACGATGGATGAACAGCAGATGATCCTTCAACATACAAGCTATGAACCCCAGAACTCTGTTTAGGTTGATAAGGGTATTTATCAAGACCAGCGCAAGAGTAAAAACCCATAAAGGATATTAAATGCAGCAACTACATCTGATGCTAGTAAGTTCTTACGATGTTGTTTATATCTGTGAAAGGAATGTCAAGCACTGATATTTTGCCCTGGGTAACATCCAGAACTCCGAGATATGACTTCCCATTCTCCCTGCACATATTTTTTCTAACTAGATAAGATGAACTACATCAATTTTCCTCCAGAACAGTTCTCTTTCCCTGAGTCAGGAGAAAGGGGGAAGCGAGACACCATATAAAGAACTCCTTTGCCAACAAAGCAATCAGCATAAAAGCATTATAAGTTTCAAATATCATGATACACAACAAAAATTTAAAATAGCAAACTACTTATCAGCTTGACCTGTAACTGCAGGCAATTAAAGTATTTTGGCTGTGGTGCTCAAGAAAGTCATAAGACTTCATCCCAAATATCCATAAGGGTCTTGTAAACTCAGCATTGAGGGAGTAAACTGGTAACACCTCGTTAGAAGATTCTACCTGTCAAAAAAATAAAAGAGGCTAATCAAGTCTACTGTCTCAAGTACAAGCACAAGCTCGACGCCAAAGACGGTAACAAGAAAGTGTCACAGATAATTTCATTGTTTTACCACATAAATGGTGAATCTTTGATACGTATTCCAGAGCCAATATCCAGCACCATAACATAACATGAAAATTGACAGGTAAGCTGTCCAGGTATTGAAATAAGTAAAGATTGTGTTTCTTTTTCACTTTCACTCTGTATTGCATCACTTTGGATTAACCTTTTGGCATATGGGGTCCCTAAAGTGTGATTAAGGTTAGCATGGAAAGAGTAAGGTGAATTCTCTCTCATTTTTATCATGCGAAAAGCCATGTACAAGTAACATGCTTTATATTTTCCATCTAAATTGGTGGTTCAAAGGAGGGATTGAAGGTGACACATTTATGTGGAGATTAAGGTAATTTCTGTTAAAAGCTAAATGATAAGGACTAAGGTAGAGTTGGTGGCCAATTTAGAAATCACATCTTCTATATTCTTAAAACTGCAGAATCTAGTTAAATGAAAAAGCTTAAACCTGAAAACATCAGAGTTTCAACCATTTCAATGTTTTATTAATGTGACTTCACAACTTCTCTAACAAGAATGTGGTTAATAAAGGGCCAGGCTGAAGGTTCCCTACAGTTTGTAATGCCATGGAATTCAATACGAGAATGCAACATCTGCCAAGTATCCACAACTTTAACAAGTCAAAAACACTAGGGTCAGATGGATGTAAAGAGAAAAAGTAAACATGTTTAGGCTTAGAACTCAAAGAAGATGAGATCATTATTAAGGAGGTGTTTAAGCAGCTAGCTCCAATCATACCCCAGAAAAGAAGTTCAAGTTCAGCCACTAGATAAGACAGAAGAAGTTCACCTTGAGACATTAGGCACAACAGAAGATGTATATCTATACTATATTAAAAGCACGACGGCCCTTAGCGAAATATCGTTCGCTTTTTTTACCCTTCTAAAATAGAGTTTACACTAGACAATATTGTCATTTAAATTATTCTCTTAATACTTCGGAATAGACATTTATTTATTTTCCTAATATTTACGACTAAATTTGTATATTTATTAGGAAAACTATTTTTTTAGGACACAAGGGATAACCTATTTTAAGTGTGTTCTCGCTAAGATTCCTATGCAAACTTCCAATCCCTACTATCCTATAGCGTGAAACTTTTCCCTCCATAAACCCTAAGAAGTCTTCTAAAACATCACGACATAGCATAAATTATCTTAATTCTAAAAAAATAAAATTCCCACATGTTAGATAGACATAATTAACTTCATAATTATGAGCAGTTTCTTCCTCCAGATACTAACAAATCCAAATATTTCATGAACCCTAAACAACGAGCATTTTTTTTTGTTGAAATAAATTTTCTCAAAGAATAAAAATAATTGTTGATGTTCTAGAAAATAATTCTATCTAAAAACATATCAAAAAATTAAATATAACAAAAAACATAAATATTTAACATATCTAACAACCTAAAAGTTTGTAGAACGAGTTATATACAGTTAATTGTCACATAATTAAAGTTGATCGAAATATTAACTTTTATACCTATTAAAAATTAGATTATTTCTTCAAAAATAACTCTACATTTAATTTTTTTACATATTTGTATTGAAGAATTTTCCCAATATTTAGAACTTTAAATTCAACAAATAATTAAGTAAAATTAGACTGATAATTTTGAATGGAATTTGATTTAAGGTCTATATCCGCACAAAAAACATATTGAAATGAAATGTGATCACATTATAATATGTTTTTTCATTGTGAGTATACACATAAGTTTAATTTTTTTTTTAAATATCATAAGTTACTCAAAGTCAATTATCGGTAATTGTCTACCGTAGTAGTGAGCCAGCAACATATAAAAAAAGATATAGATTTGGGATCAACATATATATTTTTAGAAAGTTGTACATTTTATTTTTATTTTTATTATGTGACTTTTAAATATTATTTACTTATTGACACGGGGAACACGCGAAAAGCGCGTACCCTAAAACTAGTATAATAAATATACAACAGATAGCAAAAGATTTAATCAGTATGACATCACATGAGATGAGGACTTACCCATTTGTAGATATTCCAAAACCCACTTTTCCTGTCGGTTACAAAGAATAGTTCTCCTGCACCCCAGGCGTAGCAAAGCAATGCAAGGAACATGTTAAGAAATCAGTCTTAGCATATTGTAAGCCTACAGTTAATCATGAAACAAGATATAAAACAATCCAAATCACATCGTAGCAATCATAATCTTACAGTTGAATACTAAGGCATATTGAACTCAATATTATCATAGTACATCTATTTTAAACTAAGAACCACTTCAAAGGAGCAACAATTTGCATCACCAAACATTTCAACATCTTTCTAGCATTTGATATAAGTTATAAACTACATATCTTTGAGAAAGTGAAATTTCAAAATGATATCTCTGTGGTGTGGCCTGCTGAAACCAAATAAATTTAAAATCTTTGTTAATAAAGTAGTAAACTCGATACAAGACACTAAAAAGCATTTTAAAAAGAAGAAAAATAGTTAAGAAACAACAAATTTATCGACATTCAGGCATACATAAACATATCGACTCATGAGAGTTGAGAGCCAAAAATAGTTGGTGGAGTAAAAGTTGAAAAGGAAAAACAATCCTAATAGAGAAATTAAGGTTGAAGCATATATCAGATAATCATGCATAGATCTCTGATTTTTAATAGAACTGATTTTTATTAGAACTGATTTATAATATTTCTCAACTGAGACTAATTCTAGAAACAGAAAAGGATAATTTAAGGTTTATATTATGCATATGTTGGCACTTGGCAATTTATTCTCTGAAGATTGAAAAGGCAAAACAAACAATAGAAAACAATTTTTGCATGATATATATCATTGTTTTTATCAGGTAAGGTAACATAGAGGATCTATATCATATTTCATATATCTATCTATAATTACTCAAAGTTGACAGAAACCACCAAGTATTTAGAATCTCATATTTCCTTACACAATTTCTAGTGAAGTCGGGCAGAAAAGAGGTTGGCTAATTAGGCCTCCAGAATTTACTGCTGTATGGCTTTTGGGGAAGCCCCCTCTTCTATTATTGAGATACTTCAACGTGAAATTGAGCAAAATATAGGGTTTCTGGGCATACTTTGGCTTATGCTCAGCTGAAGTATGAAGCAGTTCGAGTAAGCAAACACTAAAGGTTCGTTTGGTACGCGGACTAAATTATCCTGGAATTATAGTCCTGGGATTATATCTCTAGACTAATTTATCCCACCTGAGAGGTGGGGTAAAATAATACCAAGTTCAATGGGATAAGGTGGGATAAGATGAGATATCCAGGATTAAGTCTTATGTGCTTTTGGCCAAAAATTGAGGTGTTTGGCCTAGCTTCTGGAAGGAAAAAAAGTGCTTTTGAGGAGAAGCAGAAGCAGTTTTGGAGAAGCAGAAAAAAAGTAGCTTCTCTCCAAAAGCACTTTTTTGAGAAGAACTTTTGAGAAAAATACACTTAGAAGCAGTTTTTTAAAGTTTGGTCAAACACTAATTGCTGCTTAGAAGTGCTTTTCAAACTAATTAGCCAAACACAAACTGCTTCTCACCAAAAGCACTTTTGAGAAAAGCACTTCTCAAAATAAGCTGATTTTTGCAGCTTGGCCAAACGGGCTATAAGTTTATACCATGTTTGGTTGACGGTATAATTTTATCCCGGGATAAATTTATACCATCAACCAAACATGGTATAAACTTAGCACCATACTTTATCCCATCTTATCCTGCATACCAAGCGACCGCTAAGACGTTTGAAAAATGTTCAGCATTAGGAAAAATAGAGCTTTTCAACATTGTGAGAAGTGGCGGAGAGCAGCAATAGAGGAGGTGAAAGAAATTGAGTAAAGAAAAGTTGGGAACTATATTTTACAGAAAAAAAACAAGAGAAATTGTTCCAACTCAGTGGAGTCGTCTACTTTGTTCTCTCAAGCTAAAATACAAGCTTATTTAAGTACTCCCTCTGTTTCAAAAAGATTGACACTATTTCCTTATTAGTCTGTTTCAAAAAGATTAGCACCTTTCAACATTTCCTTAAAAAGAAGCATTTATAGCCACACAAGTGATGTGATAGGTTTAGACCACAAGTTTCAAAAGTTTTACGGCCACACAAATGCTACGACTTATTTAAGACCACATATCTCAAAAGTCTTCTCTTCTTATTAAAGTTCGTACCAAGTCAAACGAATACAATCTTTTTGAAAGAGAGGGAGTACTTGTTTAAAGCAAAAGAACATGGCTCAATTATCAGCTGAAGCTTTCTGCAGGCGAATAAGAAATGCTAAAGAATACTAGCTCTAACTGTAAATTGATCAACAGTACACCATTTTTTCTACAACCTTTCTTGGATAAATGAGATGAAGAATTAGTTAAAGGCTAATAACATTTCCAAAATTGTACAAAATGAAGAGTCAGTCCTTTGTTTGTTGAAGAAGAACTTTACTTAGTCCAAATTGCAGAGTGTACATAAATAGGAACATCCCCAAATTGGTTGGACCGCTTTGTTATAAGTTATGCTTCAGTGTCCAAGACTTGCCCCAACTTCTCCATGCTTCAATGTCCAAGACTTGCCCCAGTCTTTCCCACAACAAAAGGCTTGACCCTCCGAGCCCCATTTTCAGATATAAAGGACTCAAATTCCAATTTATGTTACCAAAGGCCAATGATAGTCACTCAAGCACAGGAACTGATTTCTAATATTTCTCTATCGAGACTAATCTGGAAACATAAAAGGATAAAGTAAAAATTATACTATGCATATGCTGGCAATTTCTTCAAGCATACCTTGAGAAGACCATCGGGGTTCAGTTGGAGACTCCACAAGAATAGGATCACCGCCAGCAACACAAATACGTTTCTGCACATCCCTAGGGGAAAGTCAAAGAAAAGCAGTGATGTTCAACAAGTTTTACACTTGGTAAAAAATTTCCACTATTATTATTATTATTTTTTTTTTTCACTTGCACTTTTATTTTATTTTGGTAATGATGATGATATGAGTTGAGTTAAACGAAAGGAATGAGGATTCATATCGCTGACCCCAACTTTTTTGGGGCTGAGGCATAGTTATTTTGCTGTATTTGGCAAATGGTGATAAATTATACAGGCTTGAATAGAATGTCATCTCAAGGTGAATGTGTCTCCTTGTTGGTAGGAGTGGAAGTGTTTATTATGGTTGTGCAGGTATATCTATGTTTGTGTGTGTGTGAGTGTATATGCGTGTGTATGTGAGAGAGAGCAAGAGATTTATTAGGGGCATACCCATTGTCTGATATATAGCCAACCCAAAGCTCTGATCTGTCCCATGGCATATTTGGGTGACCCCATTCAATCCATGCCATACGTTCCCCTTTGGGATCGATTCGAGGAGAAGCATAGAAGTCATTGCCCCCAACTAATAGCCTTGGTTCTGCATTTATGTGCCAGACAAGCGGAAATATATTAAAGATTATCTATTCTACTCACATGTACAGTTCAACAAATCTGGCCCAGGGGAGGGAGGGGGCCATATGAAAACATTGAAATATCCCTTCACAATGTATAAACATTCTTTGGCCTTTTCTAGCTCGCCTTCACACAGAAAACAATCTAAGCAAGGGCAAATTTAAATTGAATCATGATCAACTGACACTGACAAAATTCTCACCTTGAGCGCTGTTATTGCTCAGATTGACAGATACAATTGTGGTAATCGCATTAATACCACTTTCATGTTGATCTACAGAAGGAGCAAAGATTTGGATAAAATTCTTTAGAGAATCAAGCAAAGTTTAAAACGATAAGGAATATTGAGAACCAACCTTCTCTCACTGTGACATAACGGTTAAATCGAGAGTCAAACACTCCATCAGCATAGCATACACTTTGTCCACCATAATCTGGAGTGAGTGGCAATGGAGCAGAATCTAGTACCAAAATAACAGGGATCAAATTAAAGAGAAACATCCAAGAGAATAGTGATAGTGAATATGATGAACTATATGCTAAAATGAAAAAGCTTCAAATTTTCAAAATTAATACGAACCAACTTACTACCTGTGAGAGTTTCTTTTTCTTCCTTTTTTTGTGGTTATCTAAATTTAATAATCACCATTAAAATGGACAGATATAATAGGTGAAATTTGTAAACAAACAGCCAATAATCAAACGAAGTATGCACATAACATAATTGTATCTCCATTGAAGCTTATGTTAAATATAATATAAAATGGTTGAATTGGAAACAATCCTACTCAACTGCAGTTGATGACATAGAAAACAAAGGAAAACAGCAAAAACCTGTGGACGAAATGGACTGTATATAAAGTCTCTGATCTTTGTAATTAGAGAAGATTAAAGAGTCTCCTGATATATAAAAATCACCACCACCATACTCCTGAGCCAACGTCCTCACAGCAAAATCCGTAGGTGTTACATCTACGGGGTCTTCCCCTGGTTTCCCTGGTTCCTTCACAATAACCGCTCGTCTGAATCATAACAATGAAAAACTTAAAATTCACACAGAACCCACAAGAAAAATGTCACAAACTTTATGGTTTTGGGGTTTAGACACAAAGACAAAACATGAGTTTCATATGCAAATTATGTTCACAGAACAATCAAAATATCGAACTTTACATAAACACAAAAAAATATCACAATCTTTACGGGTTTTGGGTTTAAATATGATGACAGCAAAGTAAAAATGAGTTTCAAATGCAACTTATGAGAGCATAAGACTAACGTTTCAAACTCTACATAAAATCCCTCAAAAAAATATCACAAGCTCTATGTGTTTTTGGATTTAAGCGCGAAAACAATAAACATGAATTTCATATGCAAATCAAGAATGCATAATAATAGAAAAATCAAACTTGACATTAAAACTCAAGAGAAAGTTTCATAATCTCTTTGGTTTGAACATAAAGATGGTAAACATGAGTTTCATATGCAATTTTCTTTTGGTTTAACCATCCGATATCTGGAACCCACTAGTCCGATTTTAATTCAGATTCGCGTCACATAGACCCAATAAAGGGGAAGGCTCCCTACCATTGATTTCTTCTTTCCCAGGCTCAAACCTGAGAGCTCTAGTAAGGATGAAGGGATCTCCTCTATCACAACCCACCCCTTGGTGTTGTTAGTGTGGTATTTCGTATGCAATTATGAGTGCATATAATCAAAAATCAAACTTTACATAAAAATCTTCAAAACATATAATTTATGAATATCACAAATCATCATGGGCTTTGGGGTTTAAACAATAAACAGTAAACATGAGTTTCATATGCAAACTAAGAATGCATAAGGTATAAACATGCAAACCACATAAAAGAACACAAGAAAGTTTAGGGTTCTTGTTTTTTTTTTTTTGAAAGTTTAAACGAGAAAACACTAAACATAAGTTTGACTTTCAGATTATGAATGCCTTAAAATATAAATTCATAAACTCGACAACCCACAAGCAGTGGCGGAGGCAGGAATTCCGCTAAGGGAGTTCAAAAAAGAAAAAAGTTTAAAAATTAAAAGAGATTGTATAGCCGGTGTGAATTGAACCGATGACTCCAGAAAGGTTTTGAACCCCTTAACCACTAGGCTATGCTTTTGGGATACGATAAGGGGATTCAAAATATAATATATAGAGGTAAAAACATATTTTGTCTTATAAATACCGTGTAACTTCTTTAGCAAAGGGGGTTCGGATGAACCTCCTTCCGCCCCCCTAAATCCGCCCCTGCCCACAAGAAAATATCAAATTAATTATTGGGTTTTTGGGATTTAAACATGAGTCAGTATGAAAGTTATGAATGCCCAAGAACAAACATTCAAACTTTACAAGAAAATATCACAAAGTTTTTTTATGGGGTATAAACACGAATACGCAAACATGAGTTCCATATTCAAATTTTGAACTCACAACAAGCAAAAACTCTGGCTGAGGTGAATTTAAATGGAGAAATATGGTCAACGGCCACAACACGAACTTGTTTGGAGTTATTGTTATTGTAATAATTAAACACTCAAAGTTCACATAAAACCCAGAGTCAAAAGCAAATTGAGTTCGATATGTACCCGGACTCTGTAGGGCGTGATTCTAGCCAGAAAAGATGACCAACTGAATCGACTGCAAAGCCACCGAGGCGTTTGCTGGAGCCAGAGACGATGTCAGCAGTGATGGGTGACTTCCAAGAGCCATAGGGTGCCGTGAGATTGTTCTCAGTCGAAGGATGGTTTTGCGGTGGCGGTGAGATGGGTTTAAAGGAAGACATTCTGGTAGGAAGAGATACTCTTCTAGTGACTAGTTTTCTGGTACGCGTAATGTGAATCAAAGGAGAAGAAGAAAATGAGTATGGTGAGCAGCGACCATAGTGACGAGTCACAGTGGCGATGGCTGAAAGTGCCATTCAGCATTTAGTGAATTCCCTTTGGCAAACGGCCCAACCCAAATGGATGCACATCTCATCCAACCCACCCACAACTAGACGGTGACCAAATACACAAACATCTCTTATTTGGTTGTTATAATAAGAAAGAATTACTAGAAAGTACATAACTTCACACCATAACAAAAAATGACCAATATTTTTAAGTTTTACCCGACTTAACCCATATTGTACATATTTTAAAAACAGTAGCTCTTGTAAATTCAAAATATGTGTTATTACAACTATTTCAAGGGGTCGTCCGCCATTACTGCTTCTCCCCCTATATCACCTGGTTGCAATGCAAAAAAATTAAAGAGTAGAAGTCCACCATTGAAGGCCATTCAAAGCTTTGGTTTCGAAATTAAGACTTTTTGAGTTTGTTAGTTGTTTGGATTGGGTGTTATTCTAATTGATTGAAAATATCAAAAGGAGTTCAAAATTTAAATTTGAAGTGATTTTGAGTAGATTTGAACGAGATTTGAGTTAAATTTCAGAAAAGACGCAAGGAAGAAGACGAAGTCAGTTTTTTGTATAATTATGTATAATCTTGTATAATTTTGTATATGAGTGTATAAACACATCTTATACACTATTATACACTTTTATACAGCTTTATACAAGCGTCTGTAGACGAACTTCTTCCATGATTTTCAGTTGCAATTCTTATTCAAAACCAGTCCAAATCTCCATTAAATGACTTCAAATTTTATATACTACCTCCTTATACTATTTCTAACAAGTCTGGATAACACCCACTCCAAATTTCTCACAAAATCAAACTCGGCATTTAAACTCACATATTTAAGCTTGATAAAAATCTAATTTTCATCATCCAAATGGATTTGGTTTGTTGAACTAATATTTGAGTCACAGTTACTGATTCGAAATTAACTTAAAAGCTTGAGAATTTTTTTTAAAAAAATTAAATAGTAATTTTGAGAACCTATTGGAGTTGGATGTTGAATCTTAGCCTAATATTTTTGGGCTAGTTGGTTGTAAATTAAAATATGAGCTAGAAAATTGAAAAGTAGGGAGCCCAGTTGTTCTTATGTGAAATTTTCCCTTATTATAATATACTCCCTCTGTTTCGGTTTATTCGAACTTATTTACTTTTTAGTTCGTTCCAAAAAATGAATCCCTTTCTAATTTGAAAATAATTTAGCTTAAACTTTCAATTCTACCCTTAATGAAAAACTTTTATAACCACACAAATACTCTAGTCACATTTTGACTTGTTTAGGACCACAAATTTCAAATGTCTTCATTTTTTCTTAAACTCTATGCCCAGTCAAACATGTTTACATAAATTGGAACAGAGGGAGTAAAGACTACACAATAAACAATTTTCATTTTTCATGTTGTAACGACTAAATTTCACTCCTAAAAAATAATAATCAAGACAAGAATATAGCGACAAATATTATATTCGATTTCAAGGGATGGGGTTACAATCTCTAAAATATCCCAACTTTAAAGAGATGTAGTCCTCTAATTCTTCTCCTCACGAACGATGGTTCAAGAGCTTGATCTTGAACTTGATGGATTTCGGATTGTAGTACGTCACAAACAATTTGAAAGTCGTCACGAACCAGGATTTGGTGTTAGATTTAAAGCCACCCGCCTATGATTTGAGTTCGCCTTTGGTATTTGACCACAAGCAACGATTATATATGGATGAGACCTTGATGCTATTATTCAGAGCTTCTTTAGACTTTCCTTCTACTTACTTGATTGTCCTTCTAGCCTTCTCCAGTGACCTCTTTATATAGGTGTGGGGTGGAGTAGCCTCCAATAAAACCCTAATGGGTAATTAGGCTTGGATCATTAACCAACCTCTAAGTCAAAACACATGGTTTCTGATGCTTATACTTCACTTGCTAGCAATCCAAATACCAATAAACATGCCCAACAATGTCCTTCTTCATCCTCTGCCTCCAATAATATTGATTCAAATCACTATACATCGTGATACCTGAATGGATAAAATACCTCGAACTATGTGCCTCTTCAAGAATCAACTCCCTCAAACCATCAGTATTAGGAACACAAATCCGACCCTGAAACCGCAAAACACGATGATCTCCAATAACTGTCTTCTTGGCACCACCTCGATGCGTTGTGTCCTTAGGTACCAACAAATATTGATCATAATACTGACGAGCCTTAATGTGCTTAAACAAGGATGGTTGCGCAACCACACAAGCAAGAACTCTACTAGGCTCAGAAATATCCAGCCTCACAAATTATTGGCCAATGCTTGAACATCCAAAGCTAAAGGCCTCTTCTCAGTTAGAATAAATGCCAAACTCCCCATGCTCTTCATCTTTCTACTTAAGGCATCCGTTACCACATTCGCCTTACACAAATGATACAAGATAGTGATGTCACAATCTTTAAGCAACTCAAGCCACCTCCAATGCCTCAAATTCAAATCCTTTTGCTTGAACAAGTGCTGAAGACTTCGATGATCAATGTAAACCCTGCATGACACACCATACAAGTAATGCCTCCAAATCTTAAACGCACCTATAATTGCTGCCAACTCCAAATTATGGATTGGCTCTTGAGGCTTCAACTGCCGTGATGCATAAGCAACCACTCTACCCTCCTACAATAACACCGCACCAAGACTAATGTGTGATGCATCATAATACATCATGTATGCCCTAAATTCCTAGGCAACACTAAGACTGGGCTGTAGTCAAAGAATTTTGAGCTTCTGATAGCTCTCCTCACAATCCTTGGACCATATGAAAGGAACACCTTTTTGAGTCAACTTGGTCAATGGGGATGCAATGGATGAAAACACTTCCAGAAAGCAATGATAGTAGCTTGCCAACCCCAAGAAACTCCTGATCTCTATGGTAGTAATAGGTCTAGGTCATCTCTGAACAACCTCAATCTTCTTAGGATCAACGTTAGTGCCATCACCAGACACTAGGTGACCTAAGAATGCAATTGAATCCATCCACCCAAAACGCAGACATAGAAAACTTGGCATAAAGCTTTTGATCCTTCAAACTATGATGTACTACTCTCAAGTTCTCCTCATGCTCTTACTACTATGAGAGTAAACCAAGATCTCATAAATGAGCACAATCACAAAAGATCCCAAATAAGGCTTGAACACCCTGATCATTAAATCCATGAATGTTTCTCGAGCATTAGTCAAATCAAATAGCATCACCAAGAACTCATAATGGCCAAAACAAATCTAAAAGCCGTCTTGAGAACATATGAAGCCTTAATCTTCAACTGATGATAACCTTATCTCAAGTCAATCTTAGAGAACACATTATTACCTTGAAGCTGAATCATTAATATGAGGCAATGGATACTTGTACTTGATAGTGACCTTGTTCAACAATCTATAATCAATACATGTTCTCATATAACCATCTTTCTTCTCCACAAATAACACCAACACGCCTAAGGAAAAACACTCAGTCTAATGAATCCCTTATCAAGAAAATCTTGCAATTTCTCCTTTAATTCCTTCAACTTAGCTGGAGCTATGTGATATGATGGAATAGATATGGGTTGAGTGCCCGAAACCAAGCCAATACCAAAATCAATATCTCTATCTGGTGGCATGTCCAACAAATCCATAGGAAACACCTTCGAAAACTCCCTCACAACTGGTACGGAATCTATGGAAGGAACTTCTGCATTAGAATCCCGATCAAAAGCCAAATATGCCAGATATCCTTTTTTAACCATCCACTGAGCCTCTTAAAAATAAAATCATCCTACTAGGGATATGTCCAAAATAACCCGTCCATTCTAATCTTGGTAACCCCGACATAGCCAATGTCACCATCTTAGAGTGACAATCTAGAATAGAGTAATATGTGGATAACTAATTCATACAAAGAATCACCTCAAAATTAAACGTGTCCAACAATAAGAGATTAACCATAGTATCAAACCCCTTAATTGTAACCACACAAGATTGATATAAACCATCCACCATAATAGAATCCCCAACAGGTGTAGCCGCATAGACTGAATTATCCAAAGAATCACGAGGCATATCCAAATACAATGAAAAGTTGTATGACACGTACGAATAAGTAGAACCCGAATTAAATAATACTGAAGCATCTCTATGATAGAATCAAAACATACCTATAATGACTACATCAAATGCAATCTTACCAGGGAAAGCATAACAATGAGCCATGCCTCCACCTCTAGAAAGAACTCTACTTATCTAACCTCCATCTCTAGCTAGTTGTGCAGGTGGTATAGCAACTGGTACAAAAATCATGGCTTAGGTTACCTTGCTATGGTACACTCATCCGAAACCTAGGACAGTCCATCCTTATATGCCTTGAGTCCCTGCACTCAAAGCATGTTTTTTGCTAACGTGGATGCTGGGACTAAGCTTGCCTCAGACGACTAGAATAACCAATGTAACAACCCTATTTTGGAGATGCATTCTATGAACCACATGTGGGAGGTGCGCAAAATAAAGACTACCTGTATGAGTGCTTTGAAATCCATGGCTAATTGGGGCACTATAAGTAGTCTGAAGTGCTAACTGAACTAGCTTACTAGTGTAGCCTCTACCATGTCGATTCTTGCCTCTAGAGTTGAACTACCAAATACTCTACTACCATGAGGCTTCTTAGCCTCTATGTTCTCTCTCTCTTGATTGTGTTTACGCTCCAATCTCCTAGAAATCTCCATAGCCTGGTTAAAGATAGTCTTAGTCTCAACTTCTCGTGATATCCTGTACCTAGGATTGTAGCTAAGACCCTCGACGAACCTCCATACCCTCTCCTTCTCTGTGGGAATCAAAAAAGATGCATAGCATGACAACTCTATGAACTTCATCTTATACTGAGTGACTGTCATACCATCCTGCTGTAAGTTCTCAAACTAGTTGCACAACTCATCTCTCCAGGTGAGTGGAATGAATTTCTCTTAGAAGAGAGTCGAGAATTGAGCCCATATGAGAGGAAGTGACCCTGCTAGTCTGCCTTGCTCATAAGTTTGCCACCACCTCATGGCTTTCTCTCTTAAATGAAATGTAGTGAAATTC